TTTGGCAAATTTTGATGTATTCAAAGTGTTTGGAATGAGTTTTGATCAATTTTGGGTATTTTGGCAAAATTTGGAATTTTTAGCCAAATTTGGGTATCAAGGGCATTTAGGTAATTTGGAGGTGCCTAGGGGCAAAATACCAAGTTAGGCATTTCACATAGAATTGGATAGATATCCATTCTAAATGAACCAGGGATTAATACATTGTGAAGATATGGTGTATCCTAGTTCCAGGGTCAACCCTAAAGCCAAGTAATCCTATAGGGACTCTTCTTGAATTCTCTTATAATGATCTTACCTACTAAATGCTAGAGGTTAAGATCAATATGTGGAATTTCAAGCTGAGTAAAAAGAAGAGTTTTGAATTTCTAATGGTGGGGTACCTCTTCTAATTTTCTAAGACTAGTCAATAGGAAAGTCCTATGGCTAGACCTAGACTACTAAAGAAGTTTTCTAGACCTCAACCAAAAGTGAGGTCAACAAAGCATTTTGAAGAACTTTGCGAGGCTTTATCTTTTCAGGAGAGGGGTACATAGGCAACCATATTGGTGCAGTTGAATTGGAATTTTGAGCTCATTAATTTGGTCATCTCTCACTTATCTGGAAGTCAGTGATGATGTGGAGATTGTTGTATTTATGATTTTTTGTAATTAGGGGTAATTTGATCTTTTGGCTTTATTTACTTGCATGTCCTAATCCAACTCTATAAAAGGTTCTTAGGGTTCATGAGAGTGTATGGAGAAGCATTGAAGCTGTAGCCCCTAGCCTTTTTCTTTCTCCCCATCCAGTGCTACCCCGTGAACGTAGGCAAATCAACTTAACGGCGAACCATATAAATCGTTGTGTTTGATTGTTGTTATGTGTATTTCTTCGTAGCCGCATTGTTATTGCATAACACAAGAAGCCTCTCTAAAATCATTCTTTTTTTTTTGTTTGTTTGTTTACTTTAGCAAATGATGAGATAGAGGCACAAACAAAAGAGTTAAACCTTTGAACCCTATCAAAATCTCTAATAAGTAATGACAAATATGACCCTTCAGAATGATATATGTTCTATATTTATCGGCTTTTTCACCGTATTCTATTTTCTCATTTTGTTTGTGTCTCCTCTACCATTTTTGAGTGGCATTCTGTAATTTTCATTCAAGTTTAAGAAAAAAATATTTTGTCTAAAAAAAATCTGTGATGAAATTCCAAATGGATCGCTAATCTTAAGCCTCCTCTAAACTTTGATTTCATCGCAAACAGATCCCAAATTTCCCGTGTAATCTCAAAATTCACCTTATGTGTTCTCCTTCAAAAATATCTACTGTTATCTATATCTCCATGAATAACTCGAGCATAACTTCGCTCAGGATCTAACAAATTTTGAATTTAATTCAGAATTGAAGAAAAATACAATTTAAGAGCAGGCTACCCATCAGGCCCGCAGTGATGATAAGAGTTGCTTGATTTCAATAAAATCACAATCCATTACAATAACAAATACTACAAATCAAACCGCTAAAGTGGGAGAAATTGATTGCAGGAATAAAAAGCAAAAGCAAACGGTGGAACACAAGTGCACTGGTGCACTTCTTACTGGATAACCAAATGCTTCTTAATTAGAAGAAGAAAAAAAAAACAGAACACAAGCCAGTTGCGTGTGTGATAGATCAATAAGGTTTCTCGCCAGGAACATTACCAGGAGGATAATAAAGGCAAATATGGTGGGAACCATCTTTACCACAGCCGCCCTTCCCACATCCCAACTTCACCGTCTTCCTCCACACCACCTGGGTATAACTCTCGCAGTCAGCTTTATGTTCTGGCGCCGCACAACTGTTATATGCATAGTTATAACACCGCCGACCCTCCTCCACCCACGACTTCACCACAGTCTCCGGCGAGTCGAGCACGTAGGCCACAGCTTGATTGACTCCGTAATTGAAATACGCCGTCTCTTTGAATAAATCGCAAGACGATGAGCACGGAGGATGCGTAGCCAGCGTTGAGGCTTTAGACGCCAGGGTCCTGCTCCACTGCAGAGGGGCCACACCCACAGCCGCCCGGGCCTCGTTGTGGGCCTGAAGGTACTGCTCAGTCGCGTTCGTTATTAATTCAGCATCGCAAATGGCCAGAAGCACGGTGGCTGCGGCCAACCATAACTGCATCTGTTTAGCCATCGACCGATTCCCACGGCAAGGGCAAGGAAAAAGAGGAGGTTGAATTGAGAAGCCATTCGCTCCTTCGCTTGTTAAATAATAGTACGAGCGGCGCTGAAATATTCAACTTCCAGGCCAAAATTTCATTTTTTGAATCGTTACTGTCGGATTGTATAGTGATTATCGATTAATAATTCAGCCAGGCTTTGTCGCGCGGACTACTGGAAAATTAATGCCCCATATGTATCTCATTAAATGCTGGCCCCGCTATCTACGTCATCCACTATTTCAATCTAACGCCAATTCGCGCAGTATCGGAAGACGATAAGATATATATGTTTTTAAAAGGAAAATGTGACTGGGATCGAATCAAGCTCATCCTTTGACTACTAAAAATCAAAAGAAACCGCGACCGAAGGCAGGTAATGCCGCCTCAATAGTCATGGTCAATAACATTTTTTAATATTTAACGAGGCCTGCTAGAAAAATTATATGCCCAGTGATTTTTATATAAATTTATTTCAGTATAACAATACTCAATGCGAAGGCCTCCAATTACAACCATAGCTCAAAATCATTCACCAAAACTCGACAGAGAAGATAAATCTAAGAATATTTTGTGATAGCCCTCTCGACATAGTCAAAATCTCGACCAACCACACGATAAAAAAACACAATTTTCAAACACAAAGCAATCTCTCACAACATTTAAATAAATTCGAATGAGTTAAAAATCAATTCTAAATTTTTCCTTTTACATTTACATTTACTTTTTGTATTGAATGATCTAAAGTGATTGTTAAAATATACGCCTCATTGTAAGAATTTAAATGACTTTAAAAATGTAATACTCCATACATGATGAGAGCTAATATTTGCTTGGATTAGTCTAGGCTGCTCATTTTCCTCTCTGCATGAGGATGGTGGGTTTCACACAATATGAAGGGCTAGGGCTATCTGTTGGCCATTTGAGAGTACTCTAACTCGCCCCCCAACACCTCTTTGTTGACTTCCACAACTATTGTGAGTCAACTACGACTAACTGTGATTGAAAGTAAGACTAAGTTGTGCTTTTGTTATTATTTATTTGGCTATTAAAAACTTATTTCATTTTTTTTTCCTTCTTACCAAAGTAAAATAAAAGAATATATTATTATAAGTACGTTAATAGGCCAAAGTGCACAATTTCTTTATTTTAAAAATATTATAACAAGAATAATAACATTAATAATTGTTGGTTAGGTAACATCTAATATAATGAATAGATAAATTTATTTGCATAATAATGTATAATTTACTTTTCCAATTGGTGTAGGATCTATATTTGAACCATCAAATTTGTAGAAGTATTGCATTTGTCATCAAGAGTTAAATAATTGCTCTTTATTATGAGATAAACGTATACTTCTTAGTTAGGGGTGTTATCCTTGCTAATTGTAGAATTCCTAACAATTTATTGAATTGCATTCATAATATTTAAATTTCATGAATATAATTACAACAGATTTCATTTGTGTTCATAATGACTTTCATATGTAATTAACATTATTTTATTGCAACATAGATTCATGTTTTTGCATGCCATGATTCAATAATTATTATTTCTTTATAATATATGTAAAATTTCATTGTTATAATTCCACCATTGGTTATAAATACTAACAGATATTTTGTAGTCATATTTTTTTGTTTAGATTGTGATGCGTGAAATATATCTAATATTATAAAATAATTATGTCGATATTAAGCCCCTTTTGGAAGCTGGTTACCCTATCTTTCCTGGTTTCAGGGTGTCGTAGCAAACCAATAATATAAATATAATTTTATGTATATGTATATGTAAATGCTTAAATGATATATTATCAGGTTGTGTTGAATGATTGGTGAGTAATATCTATGCAAAAATACATGATATTGTCACATGTAAATATTCACATAAAGATGCATGTGCTCAAATTACTCATATTCCATAATCATATGCTTGTGTTTGTCTTTGCAAAAAAAAATTTATACATACAATAAGTCTTCTATATTTAATGGTTAAACTGTATGCCTTATTTTTGTTACCGTTTATGCTTTAATAAATAATAGTTATTTACTTATTTTGGTTTTCAAATTCAAACGTTGATATTTTTATATTACAGGTTCTATTCAACCACTAGTAAGATCATCTCCACCAGAGCAGACTTTCCAAATTTCGATTATCTTTTGGCATTTTTTAGTTTCATATGAGTTAATATATCTTCTTTTTGTGTTGGGTAGTTGTTTCCTTATTTTCATTTTAGTTTCCTTCAGTTGTATCGGTTATATCTCTATTTATGGAATAAAAATTTGAGTTCTTATTTCTTTCTATTATTACTTGCATATTCTTTTTCTCTAAGGAATACAAAACATGTTCAATCCTTTTCATAATGCCCTAAGTTGTTGGGTTGTATTGCCTTCTAGACACGGGATCTGACAAAATGGTATCATAACTTATCTGTTGTATTCAATTTCTCTTATATTTTATACTTGATATCCTTTATCTTGCATCCCACATCCCTTGCCTTTGCATTTCACATCCCTTGTCTTCTTAGAGTTGGGGTAGGAGATAAAGTGCTCCAGTTAGTTGGTATTTAATTGATTTTGATTTAACATATCTTTCAATTGTTTATATTGACTCCAAAGAAAAGAGGCGCTGCAACAGCTCATGGAAGAAAGTCCAAAGAGCAACTATAAATGATGTGCCCGTTCCTAGGGGTCACTACTCTCCTAATCGTCCCTGTACTGATCCTATTCAAACCATCGAGACTGACAGAGCACAAAATCTCAACTTGGCGATTATCGTGGAGGTAGTAACACAGAATGTTACCCATACATTACAAGCTAACTTTATAGTGCAAAATACACAAGTGGTTCAAGCTATCCAACAAGCTATGCAACCAGCAGTGCAAGCCACCCAACCAGTTCCACCAGTGTCCGACATGGAGATGCAGCTCAATCAATCAATGGTGATGACCAATAGGAATGCTATGGATCGAGTGATGGACCAGTTTCTAAAGGCACATCCTCCTACCTTCAATGACACAGTGGACTCATTCAAGGTTGATGCATGAATTCATGATAAAGTGTCATGAAAACCGTAAGATTTACATTGTGACTTGCCAATTGCGTGAAGGAGCTGGCAATTGATGGGAAAGTCACCGCCATAATGCTTTCGAACCCGATGCGATAATATCCTAGGCAGATTTCAAAAGATTATTTTTGAAGAAATATTTCTTATGGTAGCGAGCCAAGCTCTCAAATGATTTGAGGAAGTTGGAGCAAGGGACAAAAACTGTTCGGGAGTACGAGATGAAATTTGCCAAGATCATCCATTTCGTCCTAGCAAGATCATAAAATCTATCACCTACTAGTAGGCTTGAGAGAGGACATTCGGAGGTGCTTATTAGTGGTTAAGTGCATGAATTACAAAGAACTAGTGGATCAAGCTATTCATGTGGAGATGAAGATCAATGCTAACGAGAAAAAGCATATCGGGAAGCGGAAGAATTCAGAAACATAAGCCAATGGAAGTTCCCAAAAGAAGCATCACAAAATCTTTAGGGGTAGAAATCAAAAACAAATCCTAGATGCGTTCATTGCAAGAAATGACATTTTGGGACTTGTAATTTGATCGTCTGCGAATACTTCAATTGCAACTGTACCGATCATAAAGCTAAGGATTATCCCCTCAAAGCTCAAGGTCTATTATAAATGACAAGCACCCAAGAAAATAATTTTAAGTCTCATCAAAAGAGTAAGTGGAATAAGTCAAATGAAGAACAATTTCAGAAGCATCAAGGAAAAAGTCAAGCGAAGCAGGGGGCGCATGGGAGGGGGGTTGGGGATCTAGATGGTGCTTTTGTGATTGTTTATTTGATAATTAGAAACGAATTTCAAAATTAATTTTTCCTCCTTAGCAAAGTAAAAAGAAAAAATATATTATTATAAGTATGTTAATTGGCCAACATGCACAATTTTTTATTTTAAAAATATTATAACAAGGATAATAACATTAATAATCATCAGTTAGGTAACACCTAATGTAATGAATAGATAAATTTATTTGCATAATAATTTATAATTTACTTTTTTAATTGGTGTAGGATAAATATTCGAACTGTCAAATTCGTAAAAGTATTGTATTTATCTTCTCAAGGTAAGTAACTACTCTTTATTATGAGATAAACATATCCTTCTTAGTTAAGGGTGTTAATTTTGCTAATTGTACTAGATTCCTAACAAATTTTTGATTTGACATTCCTACCATTTAAATTTCTTAATTATGATTACAATAGATTTCATTTGTGTTCATAACGCCTTTCATGTGTAATTAGCATTATTTTATTGCTGCATAGATTCAAGTTTTTGCATATCATGCTTCACTAATTATTATTTCTTTATATGATGAATATGTAAAGTTCCATTATTGCAGTTCCACTATTGGTTATAAATACTAGCGGATATTTTGTAGTTTTTTTTTTGTGTTTGGATTGTGATGCATGAAATATATCGAATATTATAATATAATTATGTCGATATTAAATACTTTCTTAATGTTGGCTAGCTGGACTGACAGGTCTACAGAGTGATGACTCCAAAGAAATTATTGGATTTCCTTTGGATTGGAGCCTATCTTTTCCGGTTTCAGGATGTCGTAGTAAACCAACAATATAAATATAATTATATGTACATAAATTGTATATTTTGAGGCGGTGTTGAATGATTGATGAATCTTATCTGTGCAAACTAATAATAATAATAACATTGTCACATGTAAATATTTACATAAAGGTGCTTGTGTTCAAATTACTCATATTCAAAATCATAAGCATGTGATTGTCTTTGCAAATTTTTTTATACATATAATAAATTGTCTATATTTATTGAATATATTACATGCCTCATTTTTGTTGTCGTTTATGCTTTAATAAATTGTAGTTATTTACTGAGTTTAATTTTCAAACTCACCCGTTAATAATTTTATGTAACAGGTTTTATTCAGCTACTACTAGGACAATCTCTACTGGAGTAGACCTTCTAGAGTTAGATTTTTTTTGGTATTTTTCACTTTCGT